ATGCTGACTTCAAAGCACTGAAAATTTTCATAAGTAATGACGCCATATGTAAGTAATGACGTCACAAACATGACGTAAATTCAGTTTTTTATGAATTTTACAGAAAAATGTACATATTTCATCGATATTTTGAGTAAAAGTCACCGAGCGCATGTGTGTTCAGGATCAATATTTTGATATAATGTGTAGAATGATAATATCAATGAAATATGTCAATATTGTTCCTGAACAAACTTGCGCTCTATAAATTTTAAAGCTAAAATTGTTGAAATTTTGTCCATTTTGTCCTCTTTCTGAAAAAGGACATGAAATCGGACTAGTTTGTGACGTCATAAAATCAAAAATTATGAATACACTGCTTTGACACAATAATATTTTCTGTTAATTTATATTTCTCATACAATTTATTGAATTCAGCACATTTCAGGAAGTTTTCAAAACTTGACTTTTGTGGGGGCAAATATATGCAATATACCGCATATAGTTCTTTCATATGAGTGAGGAGAGGGTTTATGAACCTTAAAGGACTAAAAAAAAATAAAATATTGGAACACCATTCTTAGAAATCCAGAATGCAAAACTATTTAATTCTCAACCAATCAAAGCTTACAGCAAACACAAGAATATAGGTGACGAGATAATCCGATCTCACCTAAAACAAACACCATGATTTATGTCCGTGGCCCCTGATGAGGCTTCTTATAGCCGAAACACTCTACAACTACTTGCATAATTCAAATCAAATATTAATTTGCTTTATGCAATATACATAACTACTAGAAGTGAGGTTTCGAGTGTCGGGTTCTTATAAATCTCTTACAAGTTTGATTGATTGAAGTCGCTAATTTTCACACGTAGTCTGTTCTTATGCACAATAACAAATGCTTATCATTACCACAAAAGCCTAATTTGTCAGACATCAATTTTTATTTAATGACACTATGCATGATAACAAGCAAAGCTGTTTATGCTTCATATTTAAGTGATAGTATATATGATTTGTCAATATGAAAGATGATAATATAAAGGTAGGAAGAACTTTTGTTGAGATCAAATAGAATGGTTAATACACTTGTGGTGCATCTTTAGTTCCAAGTGACCATGATAGTGTATATATGGTTGTGAAGGAAGCTGTTATGTGCTTGTTGGGGATGGAGACAATTTAATTTTCAGCTTCACTGCAACACTATCTACCTCCAATCCGCATTCACTGCGGCTCAGCAGAAGATCTTCTTGACGACTCAGATCCATATATATATATATATCTACATTATGGGAGCAATTCTCTGTTCTACGACTAATCTGTTTGAGCTGTCGTAATTCGGGAAAGGACTTAAGGGCATCGGGGGAAAATTTTATTTCAAAGAAAGCAAGAGGCTCAACAGCCAAAATCATTCATCTGAACAATAATGCAGAATTTCCTCATTTGTTTATTTCTGTTAAGTAGTGTTTTAGCTCATCTCAACAAAGTTTTTTGGGCAGATTTTTTTGGTCCTTTTTGAATAAGAGTTTCATTGATGATGCATCAAGTGTTTCTTTGTACCACTCAGCTTCAGATACAGAGTTATGAGTAAGTATTTTATTGAACATTAATACAATAGTTAATATTTTCTTGGTTCAACAGGTAAATTTACAGTGCAAAAACGGAAAATTTTTATTTTGGCTATAAATATAATTCCGCATCAGGACAACTTTTGGTTGACAAGTTTTCCTGTATGTCATTTGTTTAGGAGATCGATCCCTCGGAAGTTCCTAAACTTCTTGAGGATCAATCTAACAAACGGTAGGGTTGTAGAAAATCTCCTTACCATAAGTTATTCCTTTTTAAACGTTTTGATGCGGATTTATGATATTTATTGCCAAAATAAAAATTTTCAATTTTTGCACTGTAAATTTATAGCCCATTTGGGATATTATATCCCAAGCAGACTATTATATCCCATTTGGGTGATTGGTCCCAACCTGTTCAACTAGGTTTAAGTTTTGGAGAAGGTCTGGCTCCTAAATCAACTTTTTCCTACCTTTAAACCTAAGTGGGTGTTGGATCTTTCGCCAGGGATGTACACAATCATGATTTACATATGTGTTACCTTACTGATCCAATCTTTGTATGTGATGAAACAATTTTTAAAGCATTACCAAGTAACTACAAGCCTTATATGTCTACCAAAACTTTTGTTTGATGTTGAACTTAAAATTGCTGTTGATTAGCTTTGATACCTATGTTCATACAAGTATTGAATCTCGACCATTTTATTATGTACACAAAAACAATTAATGCTAATAAATAATTCATGAATGTTGCCCATTGTCTGCTGTGGGGATTTCCCCTCAGCCAGCGATATGTTTAGTTGGCTTTTTTACATAATGAACTACTATGCATGCGCTATTTCTCTTGAACTTCGGTTAAAGTAGAAGCTTTCTGTTTGTAAAAGGTTTTCCTGCATTTCATCACCACAAAGATTTTTTGAGCATTTTTCAAGTCAACGGATTTCACGTCTGGCGACTTCCATATCACCGTCCATATAGGTAAATTGTATGATTTCGACGTCTAGACAGAGTAAATGCGATAGAGTCACTTAGTGCATTTTCTTCAGGTCGTCGGCCATTACGGTAGGACTGCACTGTTTGTAAACATTGGCCTTACTGTTACGATAAGTGAACCTTTCCGTCTATTTTCCTCATCTGAAATATGTGATCCGTAGATAAAGTACCTCCACCGCTGTGATTATTTAACACTTAAGCATGTGTCTGTGAATCAACAACTATATTTATTTCGCGCAATGTCGACTTTGTGTGAGTGAGACTCCCATGTTAACAGACTGAGCTCCTATATTGGTACACACTCATCTAGCTCTGTAGTGTTCAATATAGCAGGACTAAATGTAATTAAATTTAACGGGATAAGTGGTGTATTAATTTCCAGTGACTGACATTTGAATCTGATAAGCGCTGCCGTCCGCCAACATCAACCCCGCTACGCAATAGTGTGTTTGGGCGGGAACTGATGAGACTTGTGACGTTTGTGACTCAATAAAAGAACTGTTTGAATTTACAGAGGGTCACTGTCCTCAGTTTCTTTCCCAGGGAACGCTCCAGACACACCACACCAGATGAGTATAGGCATTGAACGTCGGATGCTAACCGGTTTCTTCGTGATGCATATCCCCAGTATCGAATTTCATTTATGAAATTAAGGGGGTTTACAGACAGCCAAAATCAATTTTGAGTGATGAAGTTCACCTCAATAGACTGGGTTTTCATAAACTAATTAGACAACTACGAGGCATTTCATTGTCACAACGTAACATTGTGGACTACTCTTTCCTGTACATATCATACTCTATACAGGTTAGAAGACAGGGGCTTCTAACTACATTGTATTAATGTTTATAAGTGCAAAAACTCTTGTTTGTAACATTCATTCACATTTACATGTCAACATTTTATTTATATTAAATTTGTTTTTTAAAAATGTACATTAATTTACATTCCATATATACAACTTACTTTGCCTATTTAAAGTGCTTGTGGCTGTGCTATGGCTGGTCATTATCGTAACCTTGACATTCTTAAGACGCAAAACACAGGTACATGTATCAATTAAGTACTAGACTTGAGTATATTTCGGTAACCAGTTGCTTGCTGACGTGGGAAACAAGGAACAATATGATTTATTTTTGTTTTGGAACCATTTGCTTACGTGGTCTCAAAACTATGTATAGCGTTTCTCGCTCAACAGGCGAAACAGTAGACTTGTTACCTACTGTTTTATCAACTAGATATTCTGTAGCTATAAGCATATAACGTTTGTGTTCCCGGGTTAACAACAATATGATACCTGTTAGAGAGTAAATTTGCTCTCAGTATGTATTTATTATACCCCCGCTCCGAAGGTATACTGTTTTACCCTTGTGTGTGTGTCTGTCCGTAACAAATTTTCGTCGCAGTTTTCTCAGCAACTACTTATTGTACATGCCTGAATTTTTGACACAATCTTCTCTGAGGCATGCTATACGGTGGGATACATTTTTGTTAAAATCTGATGTCAACTTCCTGTTTGTCTGTGCGTCTGTCCGCTTCATACATAACAAATTTTTGTTCATAGATAAATTTATGTTGCAGTTGTCTCGGCAACTACTCATCACAGGTGCTTGAAATTCTTACACAATCTTCTTTCATCCAAGCCATACGCTGGGATACATTTTTAAATTCTGATGTTAACTTCCTGTTTTTCTGTGCGTCTGTCCGTTTCATCCATAACAAATTTTCGTTGCAGTTTTCTCAGCAACTACTTATCACAGATGCTTGAAATTTTAACACAATCTTCCCTGAGGCATAACATAAGTTTGGATTTATTTTTGTTCAAATCCGATGTCAACTTCCTGTTTGTCTGTGCGTCTGTCCGTTTCATACATAACAAATTTTCGTCGCAGTTTTCTCAGTAACTACTCATTGCAGATGCTTGAAATTTTAACATAATCTTTTCTAAGGCATGCTATATGGGATACATTTTTTGTTCAAATCCAATGTCAACTTCCTGTTTCTCTGTGCATCTGTGTCCGTTTCATATATATAACAACTTTTCGTCGCAGTTTTCTCAGTAACTACTCATCGCAGATGCTTGAAATTTCAATAGGATCTTTTCTGAGGCATGCCATATAGTGGGATACATTTTTGTTCAAATCCGATGTCCCTTCGTGATCGGGAGGCCCGGGTACGATTCTCGTTCGCGGCGCTGCGTCATACCTAAGACGTAAACAAAGGTAGTGACTGTTCCTTCGCCAAGCGCTCGGCACTAGAAGTGAAAGTCACGGGTTTTTCGGATATGACCTTAAAAATGTGTCATGGTAGGCGCTGGCACGATAAAGAACCCTCACTGCTCAATGGCCCTGAGTGCCGGGTATAGGTCTAAATTTGAAGCCCTTTACCGGCATACGGTGACGTCTCCATATGAGTAAAAAATTCTCGAGAGGGATGTTAAACATACAATGAATCAATCAAATCCGATGTCAGCTTCCGTTTTGTCTGTCCGAGTCATACATAACAAATTTTCGTCGCAGTTTTCTCATTAACTATTCATAGCAGATGCTTAATTTTAGTACACTATTGGTTGAGGCATGCCATATGGTGGAATTAATATTGATATGAATCTGATGTCAACATCAAATTTTTCTGTGCATCTGGCTGTAATTGAACTTAAATATTAACACGATAGTGTTTATTTACATCAGAGCGAGGGTATCACTAGTGAGCATTGGCTCACAGATTTCTTGTTAGCTTTAAGCATTATGTAGCTCTAAGCATATTTTAGCTTGAAGCATGAACCACATGCGATTTTCCCATTTCTGGGTTACATATCTAGTGGTCAGGAATATATGGCTAGCTGAGAGCATATGAATAACTCCAAGCATAACACTAGCTCTAAGCATAAAGACAAGAGAAATAACCTTCCTAATTAGGAAGATATATGTAGCTTAAAGCATGTAAAAGCATTTTCTGCTTTAAATCTGTGACAATATCATATATTTTTATCTGACTGTTGATTATATATAGAAATTGTCACCAGACCCAAACGGCGAAGGGAGACTCATCCCCAGTGCACGTGGTTCCAGGAACCCCAGCAGCTACAAACCAGTCCGTTGAGGATCTAGTGAGAGCCTGCATGAACTCGATAATCCCCACCATTGAAAGCACGTGTAGGCAGGTCATTTCAGAAAAAAATGTCTACCGCGCAGACATTGACAGCATCAAACGCACCAACTTCAGAGCCACCTTCTAATGTACCCCAACACCCACAACGCCAAGATTTCTGCAGGAGAGATGTGGAGATTTCCCCTCAAGTTCTCTTGAACTTCGGTCTTAGTAGAAGCTTGCTGCCTGCCACCAACCACCCCTCCTCCAACTTGTACTTATTCATTTGTTGTTACTCATTTATGTTTTTCAGATTGACACCATTCTTGAGACCCATTTGGGTATATATTTTATGTCAATCATGCCACAATTGTATGTAGTTATTTGATGAAACTTGTTGCTCTCAGGTACAAACTAAATTTTATTTGTCTCTTATTTATTGATGTTGATGTATACATTTTATGTTACTTTTGTACATTTTTTATACTGTGCTTTGGATCCATTTTCATTTATTGCATTTTTCAATAAATGACCATTCTTTAAAGAAGGGCTATGTTCTTATTTGATGTGGTTGGTAAGGCAAGGCATATATAACACATGGATAATTCCATTTTCACAAGAATGTACCAGAGCTCCAGATAAGGTGCGTATTTGCAGAAATACGCATTAAATTTACAAAATACGCATTGAAAATTAAAATAGAGCGTACAATTACGCATTAGCAATCATAGATACGCATTACACCACGAAAGTACTGCGTACAAGTTGAAGAATACAGGTACGACTTACTTAATGTTACGAATTAAGGTTAACTCGGTGTTTGATTTTCCTCAAAACGGAAGTACAGATTTAAAAGCCTTTTGGTGACCAGGAATATTCTAATAATGACGACGGCGATTTCCATTTCGGGAGGAAAAATCGGAGATTTAGATTAAAATCAACTTCTATTTAGAAAGACTATGCACCCGGCAAAACATTTTTTAATTATGGGTCCTCAGCCAATTTTTCATCTCTCTCAACTTGCCACATTAACGAAGATTCTTTTCTCTCAGTTTACTCTTAGATGAGGGAAAAGTTATCTGTGTCTCTGACTCTATGGTCCTTGACCTACTGTGTAATCTTCCATGTAAAAAAAGACTGCTTCCTAATCTTAGTATAAAGTCTTGTTGGTATTTACAAATTTATTAATGCAGGAACTGACCTTTGAAGTTTTTTCCCTCTTCAGAAACACATATTTCGATCACAAGCTCAAAATAAAGTTCGAAACATTTATATATAAACAAAATACTCTTCAAACATTTTGCTGAAAATCAAAATCTGCATTGATTAAAGAATCAGGGAGTAAATACACTTTGGGGTAAAAAATTATATGGACCTCTGATGTACAGGTTTTTTTTAATCGAATGTTGACTTACAATGGGTTTAATATATTTGAATCTTCATTAAATGTTCCATGTTATGATATGTGTTCATGGAGTAAAAAATGGAACCATTTTTCTAAATTTGATTTTATGCCATAGTTGAAAACATGTAGTAGAATGAATATATATCTAGCAATACATGTAATTCAATATCAACATTGCTAAACAATATATTGACATGTGTGAAGAAAGGGGGTATTGTTAAGTTACATATACATGTATTTGTTCAAGGAATTATAAAAGGACTTTTTTATGTTTTACATTTAATATATATGTACACAAGAAAAGAATTAAACATGAATAGCTCGCTATAGTTTTTAGTTGTATCGCCTTAAAATTATGTCAGTAGAAAATAATAATACTACAATTATCAAATTGCTCTCTCGCCCCATTTTTTGGGGGTCAGTTGTCCGAAGAACAAGAAATTTTATTGGTGCGGCCTTAAGTTAAATAAATAAACTATTTCATCTTTATTGAGTTGTTTCCTTTTTAACTATTAGTGGAAGGCAGACAGACATAAATCTTTTCATAAACCACTCGTCCAGAAAAGCTAAAACTAATGTTAGTTTAATTATAAAATTTTCAAATCATGACACCATCAGGGGGGGCAATAGAAAAAAGTAGTACATTAAATATAAAGAAAAATTCCTTAAAATCTACTTCTCAAGAACCACTGGACCAGAAAAGCTAAACCTTTATAGAAGCCTCATGCGCTAGTGTTAATTCCAAAAAATATTGTAAATTGTGTAAATCATGAACCTGAGTCATAAATAATTGATGAAAAACAACACAAAGCTTACTCAGGTGAGCTCTGTGTCCAATGGGTCTTTTGTTTCTTTTCTGTTCGTTGTTTAAAGGTGACTGTCTGTATTTAGATAAATTTTGTAAATAAAGTAGAAAATATGCAGTTATTGGTTAAGGTAGTCCGCACTTGACAGCGGCAGTTAAGGGAGGAAAATTAATGAAACCAGAAAAATACCCGCGCAAGCGCGGGAAATTAAATTTATAGTTACAACTAGGGCCATGACAGCCTACAAGGAAGAACTTTGGCCTGAGCCTTAGCCAGTGTGTCGTACATTACTATGGAGTGAGCGGAGAAACATTACAGAAGCTGAAGGATGATATAAACTTCGTAAATAAATTACAGACTTCTCGGCCTAGTACTATAATAGTTTAGATTGGTGGTAATGATCTGTATATGACAAATGTAAGACCAGAAGGTTTTGCTTATGAACTACTGGAGTGCATGGAAACGTTACTTGAGCATGTCTTTTTACAGAAGGTATTCATTTGAGAACTGTTTATTCGTCGCAAACCAAGGTTTGTTGGTGCACAGTCTTACGAACTTTGCAAGCTTACAGTAAATCAGATGTTTAAAGACATGCTGGAGGTGCAACATGGCCTTTTGGAGACATTTAAGATTAATGCACAGCTCCCTGTACGTTTTAGACAAAGATGGAGTTCATTTTTAAACATTGGGGACTACGAAATTTTAAAGAAGCTTGCGATTGCCTGTACATCATGCAATACGATAGATTTATGAATTATGTAATTGTTTATGTTGGCGTTCTATAAAATATTATGTAATACCATGTGCACGCTATCAGCAATAAAAGTAATAATGAACATAGTCACTCATGATTCGTTGTAGAAATAGTCAGTCATGATTCACTGTAGACCGATTTCAAGTTTGGTTCCAAAGTTAAGTAAAAAAGTTACCCTGCCATGTAATTTGACAGAGCTTTCAATTTATTATTCAGAGAACCTGCGACTTGGAAAGGCAAATTACATAAACACTTAATCAAAATGAATGCATATTAATTTTCATGTAATTTGGAAATCATGACGTAACTTGGAAATATATTGCATTCTTGGAATATAAATCACATGTACTTTGGATATGGTAACTTACCTGATTTATGCCTTGTAATGTGGCAGTTATTATACATAATAAACGGATCCATCGTGTGAGCAGGTATCCAGCTTAAAGCAACAACACGGGAGCCCAGCGACCACGGGATATTATTGTCCGTTTTCTGTCCTATAGAGACAGAGCCATGGAATTCTCGAACAAGAGTTACCTGAAAACTTTCAACGACAATGAGACCTATGGGAATTTTCATTAACGAGGCCCTTACTTCTGTGCGATACAGAAGTATTTGTGAACAGTTGGTTATTTGTTAACTCGTACGTATATCCAACAATGCCCTAGGAAGCGACTGAGGTTCCCTCTCTGAGGACAATAGATGCAGTGGTGCGCCATCTGGGACATTCGTGTATATATATATAAATATATATATATATATATATATATATATATATATATATATATATATATATATATATATTGAAACAGAAAAAAATCCACAGTGCTCGGTAGTTTACAGGTAAATCTTTAATTAAAATTTAATTTAAATTAAAGCTAAACTAAAGGTTTTCGTGTTTCTTTTTTAAAAAGATTTACCTATATATATATATATATATACTGCACAAGTTCGCGTGTAGAAAGACCTCCTTTAGCACGAATGTTCAGCGTGAAAATTTTACAATCCAAATTTGCACACAACACAATTAGCATTTCATAAAGTTCCAAGGACACCTAATGCATATGGAACTTTATGAAATGCTAATTGTGTTGTGTGCAAATCAAATTTGGATTGTAAAATTTTCACGTTGAACATTCGTGCTAAAGGAGGTCTTTCTACACGCGAACTTGTGCAGTACGCGGATCTGAATTATATTAGCAGAACCCTCATCGTGTGTCTGCCTCAGAGTGCCCAGTGTATTCTATCGATAGCTCGTTATCACACGTGGGAGTCGGAATTCGACGTGTCATCATAGAATAACCGCTGTGAAGACAACCGTGGACAACCTTAATTAAAAAATGTCAACAGTAGGTCACCGTAACCTACTTTTTGATCGACATTTTCCAAAGACCCAAGATGCATCAACTGGCAAAGTTTGATGATCATAGGTCTAAAGTGGTTAGAGCATCTGCTCTAAAGTCGCGAAGTAAGGAGTCAATCCTTACGTCGCGGGTTCGAATCCCACTATGGGACGTGGAAACCGGTCCTTTGAATGAGACCGTATAAACCGAG